GTGTATGCGTGTCACGATCAATAAAACCATAATCATACCAACGGATAACAACATTCAATCAAGCTGGTGCGTAATCGTTGGAGAACACCCATCAATTATTTTCCAGCTTGTTACAAATACCTATTTAAAATAATACACGACTAATGAATTCGCGTAATTATAGCCCGTATCGATCTGATTGAAATATATTTGAGTATTTACCTTGCTGTCCGAACGTTAATGAAATTAATTTGGTAGATGTAATCGGTGCAACCGCACCATATTCATGTATGCGTGTACCTGCATGTTTTCATCGTTCTTCTGATACAGAAAATGATTATACTGCTGGTTACGCGATCGATCATTGGTTCCTAGACTCGCGTGACAATATGAAATTCTCGGATTGAGCGTGTTACTTCGTTCGCAAGTAATGTCTGTGAACGTTGAATTTATTAGCAGAACTTTCAACTTTTTCTCGTTTCAGATGGCGGCTGACTAAACGAGGATTACTCGTTGTCAAAGTGTCCGCGTAAAATCGATCGATACTACTGCGCTCTTGATATTAGAGAAAATTGAAACTTGCAAATATACCTAAGATACTATTTTGCATAAAATTTTATATTTGAAGCAATTATTGTAGCTTTTAACAAGGAGAAGTTACTAGTAATAATTTTGAAATGTTGAAAATGATTAAAAATCTTTGATTTTAGAATTACACAACGCAGTTGTTAACGCAGTTCTAAAACTTATCAGAAATGTAACAACTTTCTTAAAATGATGGAATAATATCGCGAATAATATCAAAACAAACATAACATATAATTTTACCTCCATATATTTCCTTTTATACATTAAGTTTTATTTTCGCCCGTGTTCACCACAATTGACGTAAGAAACAAACTAAGCATTTTCGAATTCACCTTTATTATTATTATTATTTTTAATTTCCACATATTCGTTTCAAAAGAAGGAAAACGTGCAATAAATGTACATATATATGCACACAATTATCACAGTTCAACAAATCCTCGAATTTTATTAGTTGAAGCAGCTATGAGCCGGAATGTAGCGCGAATTTTTCAAAAGAATCCGAGTGGCGTTGCCGCAGAAGAGGGCGGTTAAGATCGGAGGTCGCGTTTGAAGTAGCATTTCCTTGGCACAAACGACCCTCTTAATCAATTGCTAGCACCTTTATCGCGTAGTGCTCTCGAGTGGCGGCCGCAAAAGCGTAAAGCCGCAGCAACTTCGATAAATCTCATCCCTGCTCGCTGTTATTCCCCAACACCGAGAGAAAAGAGGAGAAGAGAAGAAAGAAGAGGGCGTAGATTCGAGGAATGGAAAACGTGGCCCACGAGACCGACAGTTTCGAGAAAGGTTTCGAAGGGACCCTCGTGTAGAATGGGCCGATATGGAGGCCAATAGGGGGAGAGGAAACTTATGAAAATCCGGGATTTATCGCGGCATGCACCGCCGCGGCAGGCTCAGACAAATCGTCCGGAAGTTAACGTTCGATCGAATCCTCTTTTCGACAGAGCCACGACCGGCCCACCCTCTGTGGACCAGCTGCCTTTGAAAGCCCTGATAAAAGTTTTAATCCGTTTCCCCCTCGACGGGGGTGGTTCCTCTGTTTCCTGGCCCGTCGTTGGCCAGGAATTCTTGCTCTTTGTCCGAGCCGTGCTTTCCTCCTCTGGGAAAAAATACGAAAGATTCTATTTTCGGATGGTTTAATGATGAGATCATCACGGAATAAATACGGCGAGATGGATTTAGAGTGGTTGCTTAGAGAAATTGGATGGAAGTTATTCTCGGTATGCGGGATCTCGTGTTCACGGAGGGGTTGCAGATGAATTTTCGGCGTTGGAAATGCGTTTAAAGCGTGACTGTTCAAAGTTTTGAGAGAATGTGACAGATTGGGAACAGTTTATATTTAGTTTTATTTGAAGTGAGTGAATGAGAAATGTAAAATGGAGGAGGAGAAAATGAATATACGCACGTTGGTATACACACACGTTGGTTGATTACGGTGTATAAATAAACGGAGAAGGTATTTTACGCGTGAAATTAAATTAGATTTTCTAATTTCCAGTTTACTAGCCGAAAAGATTAATTAATGATAAAACGCGTGGAATAAGAAGTAATTTAAAAAATAATAAAGGAAAATATCTGTTAAATTCAATCTTTCTGTATTTTGCACGATTAAAAATTTCTATCTATTGTTAACCGCCAGTTAATTAAAGTACAGATTCTACTAAGAAACAAAAAATCGATCAAACTCTTATTTCCAACAGAAACGATATCAAGAATCATCTATATTATTGTTCCAATCCGATCCAATCCGGTTCAACAGTGTCGAGAAACAAGTTGAACAGAATCACGTAGACTCTTCTTAAGACGCGAAAAATATCTAATAGCCTGACAAGTTCCTTCGAATAAACAGATCGTTCCAGCAAGAAAACTTTTATTTTTCGAAGCTCGAATTCTCGATCGCGACGGGTTAAACGCATTTATTGAGATCAAGCTCGCCGTTTCAAACAAAGCCGGACGAGTTCAGTCTCGATGGAAAGTGAAGCGATCCAGAATCTTTCTAGACTCCAGATCGAGATTACGCCTCCTCCCCTTCCTTCCTTCGAGGGTTAATCGTTAATGCAATCGATTCCGAAACGTCGAGCACGACGTTCATTTAGATCTCTAAAGTCCGTGACTACTTCCACCGTATATTTTTAGAGCGGCCCGGCTGGATTTCGAAAAGTAACGGCGAAGATTTTGCAAAGACGTTTCTCGGTAATTCTCTGTTTATCTACGAGGCTAGTTTAATCGTGTTTCGATAGAAAATTTATCTTTTTTTTCTTCGAATTGAAAATTTTGCCACGTTGCATCAAGAAAGATTATATTGTTGATCACGAAGAATTGCAAAAACATAATTTACAAAAGTTGTTTTACAATTTTTGATGTTTGTTGATAGCTTTTCTGTATATAATTTTTTATTGTATCAATCGCAGCTCGTTATTTCCTACAAAATGTTGAAAATTGTTTCTTATAGCGAGTTATATAAATTTCTTAAAAATGTCAAGTTGAAATATGATATTAAATGTATTTAAATATACACATCATTATGATCAATTTGTTGTTTTGACAGATTTCTCGTGTTATAGTTCTTGGTAAATTTATTATTGGCATTTATAGAAACACGTACTAAGTGCAACATGTGTATTACATATACATTTGGAATAAATATATGAATTATTTCTCGTATATCTTTAACATTCTAATTTTTCGAAATTGAAACAAGATAAAGAGATACATTCACGAAGCAATTCGAACAAATTCAGAACCGAAATTAAATATTCGACACACGATAAATCCCTGTTACGAGTAATCGGCGATCGTTCATCGAAATAATCGCAAATTTCACGACAGCTTAGGGTACCAGCATCCGTGCCGATAAAACGAAACGAATGGCCAGCTTATCAGCGAAAAATGCATCCGGCCCCGAAAGTAGTTTTGGAGGCGCGATAATGCACGGATCGGCGTATTTCAGTAAAATAATTCTGCATTAGGCCGCGCACACGCGTGCAAATGCTAATCTGGTCGGAGCCATGCGCGTTTCGAAAACGAGAAAATTAATTGCGATCCTAAAAATACGAGGGGACGATTCCCATTATAATAAATTCCGGGGTAAGTTTCACGAAGGCTGCCGCCGCGACACGCTCGGAATTTATGCACCGTATAAGCCAATTATTATCGCCCACCCTTCTGCTAGAAACTTTGACCACCGTAACACTTTTTCAATTCGCCCCGTCGATTAATCGTGAACCGTTTCGATCGTTACGCTTTTAACTTTCCACTGATATAAAGTAAATAAAATTAGAAGGAAATCAAAAATGGCAATTTAAAGGATTACACTTTGAATACTTTTAACGTTAGATGCAGAAAAAATGATAAAAGTAATAGAACTTTTTATATTAACTTCCAATTTTAATGAAATTGAAATATTTTCATTTCACTGATTTACAAATAAGTCTAATTTATCATGATACTCGATATTTATGTATATATATATATATATATATATATATATTCTAACTTTACTACTTTACTTTC